TCGCGCTCCCATTGGCCGCCCCGCCGTCAGCTGCTCCTATTTTCTGCTGTCGCTTTTGGCGCTCGGCCATCCAGAAACAAACCACTTCGATGACTCCTAATAGTTATCGCCAGATGTACTAATACACAACAAATCACGGTCCGGGAGAGGGGGAGAGCAAATGAGTTCCTATTTCGTGAATCCCACTTTCCCGGGGAGCCTGCCCGGGGGCCAGGACTCTTTCCTCGGGCAGATCCCCCTTTACCCGGCGGGTTATGATGCTCTCAGGCATTTTCCGGCTTCGTACGGGGCAAGCAGCCTGCAGGACAAGACTTACACCTCACCTTGTTTCTACCAACAGTCCAACACCGTCATTGCTTGCAATCGGGCTTCCTATGAGTACGGAGCCTCTTGTTTTTATTCGGACAAGGAAATTAGTAGCGCCTCTCCCTCCGGCAGTGGCAAACAGAGGGGGCCCGGGGACTACCTGCACTTTTCTCCCGACCAACAGTACAAATCCAGCGGCGTCCAAGCCAAAATTGTAAATGACGAAGGCACCGACCGGAAGTACACGAGCCCTGTTTACCCCTGGATGCAGCGGATGAACTCCTGCGCTGGTAAGGCATTTCGATGCAATCAAGGGAGGGGGGATGGGGGGGGAGGAAGGAAAAGTTTCTTTCCCCAATATTTTTTTTTTTTTTGTGGTTCTTAGATAAAGTCCAGGCTGCTGGAGAGACACGGTTCCTGCAGGGCAATGTGTAACATGAAACCTTCCCCAGGTTATTTTAGACCTGGCACGTTGGCACCCTGGGAACGGTGGCCGAGAGCCTAGCTTGTTGGTTGACTGGTGAAAGTGACTGGGGAATCCTTAGGAAGCAGGCAAAAAAAAAAAAAAAAAAAAAAAGAAAAAAAAAAAAAAAAAAGAAGGAGCAGAGCAGCTTTACCACTCTCCTAAAGCCACCCCAAAGCCCCTGCTCCGCTCCTTCATTGTCAGAGAGCGATGCAGGGAATATGCCCTCTGTACTGAGGATCCAATGCATTTGTGGCACATTCCTCCTCGCCCCCCTCCCCCAGCTCATTAGCCTGTAAGTAGTGGATACTGAGAGCACGTTTCTGGGGCCATGGGCGCACTTCCATGGCATCGCGGATTTTCTCTGACTTACAAGTGAACTTCACATAATTGAACTCTTCTGTCCAGGAGTGATGCTGAGGGGGGAGGGTTGTATTGGGGTGACACTTATTTTTAATAATCCCATATTAAGACGTTTGCTTGCAGTGTTTGCTAATGACCCCCCTCCTCTCCCCTCCTCCCGAGTTTATGTCTGCTGGACTGCGGGTCGCATTTCTTTTTTGGAAAGTTAAACTTTTAGCAAGACCATTCTGATGCTGCTTTGCATTCGAGGGCAATAAATTCCGGAGCAAATGGCACAGGCTCTTCTATGATCTTTAGCTGTTGTCTATAATTATACTTAAATTACAGACCCTCTGTAGTCACAGCCATGGCAATAGAGTGTGTTTGTGTAAACACACCCGCGTGTGAGTGCACACACGCACACACACACATGCGTGCAGCTCCCTGGATCGCACGCGTGTGCGTGTATGTGTGTGTGTGCGCGTGTGCGCGCACAGGCTCTCACCACGCAGAGGGTAGACACTGCTCAGCGATTCACACGGGTGCTACCTACTTCACTTTCCCTAGGTCCACCTTAAAGCCTCTTTGTATCCCAGTTACCACACCACCGTAAACACGCTGCACATCCGCATTTACGGCTGGTCAGGCAGGAGAAAAGGAAAAGAAG